TCGAGGAGCATGACCGCGAGGCGACCTTATGACAGGGAAATCGGGCCCCCGGATTTGCCGTATACACATTCATCTATGTAAGTGATTACAGGGCAAATTCTTACATGACAGCTATCTTCATTTTTGTAGAACCAAGCCTGGGCAGTATCTTGCCTTTGGAGCCGGACGCAGGTTTTGTCCTGGTGCAGACTTGGCCAGGCTTGAAATTTCAGTTCTCCTACATTATTTTCTTCTCAACTACAGGTAAATGTTCTGTTATCTTGCATTCCTATTCTTCAACCATACATGTAAATCTTATTTGCTCATTACTTCATACAAAAGTATAAATGATGATTATATTTATGTAACTGAATAAACGATTTCACCATTCTGATTGCCTTATATGTAAATTTCCTGTGAATATCATGAAAGTTTCACATGAATTTTCAGAAAAGATACATTTATGTAACAAATGAGTTAAAATGGTGTAACATGGTAAGTGAGGTTTCATATAGCCGACCCCAACTTGTTTCGGATGGAGGTGTAGTTGTTGGTGATACATCTATTTAACAGGAAGAATTGAAAGAGAGGGCAAGATGGTCTTAATTACAAAAATCAAATCATGGAACAGCATAGCCAAAGATGCTACGCGACAAGTGGAAAATATTTTGATGCTTGAACAGTTTTATTTGACTGGAAATTTGTATAACAATATCAACCTTAAGCACGCCAGTTAATCCAAGTTGGATCAAGAAGCACCTTCAGGTGTTAATGGCTATCCTCTTCTTCACAGAATTTTGTGTACTCTTTGGAACCCATCAAAGATTCCAATTCTGATGGACTGCTTGGCTTCACTTTAATCATCCATCCATCTTCATATGGGCTTGAATTCACCTTGATTGCACAAAGTAACAATGGAAATAAGATAATACAAAAATGACATTTCAACCAACTGGTAATTGAACTATCAATTTCTTATCAATCTGATAATTACCAAGCCAGGCGTTTCAGTAAGCTTTGTGTTGACCTCAACAATCTCGCCCGAGATAGGACAATTAATGTCACTGGTGGCTTTGACACTTTCGACAGCTCCAAAGCTGCTTCCTTGGGAAACAGAACCACCAGTTTCTGGTAGATCAACAAACACTACTTCTCCAAGATGGTCCTAAAACATCCAAATGTTTGAAAATTAACTTCCACTCTTAAACATCTCTTAACTGAAAGTCTGAAACTGTTTCGTACACACATCATCCTACAGGAATTTGTTTCTGATATACAATCCAACATGTATCTCCTTTGAATTGCATCACTAATAGACACACACTCAAATACCTCTACTTCAATTATCCTTTTCTCTTTCAGTCAAATGGATTGTCTATAATTCATAGACAAGCATAAGTAGACCATATATAGCAGTTGTTGGCATTATATATGCCATACATATGTTATTCATTTAATTGATATATTTGGATTTCGGATTAGCATTTGCAATCCCTTAGAGGATATAATGAGCATTAAGCAGAATTAGACGAACCTGAGCATGATCAGTGATGCCAACAGTGGCCACCGAACCGTCATGCTTCACCCATTCATGT